GCATATATTCCTTTGTGGTCCCTTCAGTTGTTCTATCAAAGTACCAGTATTGGAAATAATGATGTGGGTGTGTTACATCAGCAGGAACTATATGTTGTGCCAGTTGCCTAGATGTACATGCAGAGAGTGTTTGGTAACGATGAGCATTCTTCCTTCTCAGCAAATTAGTCAGCATCAGGAGCAATTCATTCAGATGCTCAACGAACCTCTGGGTGAAATGGCTGACATCGCAGACATTGAGGGAGAGATGGGTGCTATTGGGGAAGAAGCTCCCCAGATGAACTACATCCAAGTTACACCTCAGGAAAAAGAAGCCATAGAAAGGGTAAATGTGTTGAACTAGGGAAGAAGGGGCGGTGGCAAGGAAAGAAGGACCTCAGAGTATTTGTGGTCTTTCTCAGCTTGACTTTTTCAGTAGGGGGTTTGCTTCTAAGAATTTCCTTCTTGCCATATGGAACAATTTAATGAAGGCATGTATAGCTAATTTGGGGTTGAAGGTTTACTTGAACATACCAATGGCATGCTAGGATTGCACTCAAAAAAATAGTTAAACAAAAACTAAAAAACAATTTAAAATCAAATGTAGCTGATACTATTCTTACATCATGCATTTAACAATTTTATTCTTCAGTCACATTAAAATTACAACTTGGTTGCAATTTTTAGAGACCTTTTATGAATCATTCCTAGGCTCAAGGCATGCACTTCTGACATAGCAGCTAAAATAGTGATCATTCTTTCTGTTCTTTAGAGAAACGTTAGTCCAGCCAGTACAGAAGGATTTGACCTTGCAATATTACTTATGAATTTTGTTCAGCATTAAAGTCCAATAACCTTCTGTCATTCTGGAGTATGGACTAGATTCTGATGATAATGGCTGCGAGAACCAACTATATGGAATATTCTGATTGGAATGTGAGCTCTGAAATTGCAATGCTGTTGTTTTTTTATTCTTATATTTCTCTAAGACAAACATATTTGAAATAGGCGTTTTGACCCTGTTTTTTTCCTCTAGTGGAGATACTTTCTGATCTATAATAGTTCAGTTGGATGGAGAAGACTACATGTCAGAATACTACATAATCATTTGCAACATCAAGAAAAGCTTGTTTATACTTAAAGTGCATTATTAAAATTAACATTCTGTTTTGCATAAATATGACTAATTGCACATATTTATGTTCTGTTCTGAAACCACTATTAGATTCTTCTTGGATTTGGAGGGATTTTTTTTTTTTTGGAAAGAAGCTATTCCTCCTGGCATGAGGAGAATTGGATAAATGGGATTAAGCTAGCATGGCAAGAAATGAAAAATCAGCTCAGTTAAACCTTTCACATTTTCAAGAGAACTTTAAAACAAAAGAAAAATATGTGATGTGTACAAAAAGCATGAGACCCTGAGATTTGTATTAAGCCTATAAATGATAATTTACATTCTCCCGTTGTGTCTTTTTAAAGAGAAATATTATGGAATGCTCTTTGCCCCTTCCTAGGACAGAGTTACGGTCACAAATTAACAGTATTTATGTAGAATTTCAAAGGGCAGTTATGTCATTTTTTTTATTTCAATATGCTATGGTAAAATTACTGATAATTGGTTACTTGCTGAAAAACTGGATTGTTGCCATAAGTAACATTTAATGTTTTCTTTCTTTTTTTTAACCTCCCCATTCCCTCTCTCCCTTCTTCTCCCCTCTCTCAGTTAAAGGCCCTGGGCTTTCCTGAGAGTCTGGTGATCCAGGCATATTTTGCTTGTGAGAAGAATGAAAATCTGGCAGCCAACTTCCTGCTGAGTCAGAACTTTGATGACGAGTGATAAAGAAAAAGAGTTTTATATAAAATTCTCTATATAAATATTCGTTTATTTAAAGGGGCACTACTGGGGTTGGGTGGTAGTATGATTTGAGCATGTCCCCGATGAATTGCTGGCTAGAGGAAAATACTCTACCTTGGAAATGGTGCAGTTGGGGAAAAAGCAGAACAAATGGACCTTCTGATTTCTTCTCAAAAACAAAGGCTACATTTGAGCCCAGCTGCATCTTACAACAGTTCTTAGACTGACAAGGTATTTAGAGAAAGGTTGACACAGCAGATGGGTGCTGTTGGACCTTCTCCCATCTCACATGATTGCATGTGTGCAAACAAATTGCTCTTTTGTTTGCAAATCTATCCCCTTCATGCTACAATGCTGAACTTTGGGCCCATCAATTAATTCTATTGCTGGTACTCTCCCCTTTGCATTCCTTCAATGTTGTTTTGAAATCAGTTTAGTTGTCCATCCCCATTCAAAATAGTGGCTTGTGTTAGGTGAGTGATATGCCTTCTGATGATCTGTTTGATATTTGTTCCTGTGCTGGAGAGGCGATGCCAGAGTTATGGAATATCTTGTAATTTTGTGCACAAAATCTCATTTTTTTTCCTATCCTGTCATCGTCCAATAAGGCAACTACCCACCTTTATCTATGGTTTTCTGACACTGCTCTTAAAATCATTCCCAAAGAATATCAAGGGAACAGTTTCCCTATACTCATCCAATTTCAAACACTAGAGGTTTTTTTTTGTTTGTTTGTTTCTTCTTTCTCTTTTTAGTGGCATCTCATGATTTTAGCCTGTACTACAGACATCTGGGGATTGACTATGTAACATCCATGTATACTTTTATTACCCATCATTTTAATATTAGGAATTTGGAGCCACAAACTTTAATATAGTAGCAAAAAAAAAAAAAAGATTTTACAAACCCCTGTAATAACTCAGCAATTTGAGGTAGTTTGAAACACATGCTCATTGTTTCTCTATTTTCTGTGTTGTGTGAATTTTAAAGATTTTTTCCCCTAGTATTCTGATTTTACTTGTTCAAAATATTTTTAATCTAAAGATTCCCCAAAAGAGAATCCATTAATAATTGGGGATACAAAACTAATACAAAATAGTTGTGTATTAGATATTTGATATGTTTTACGTTTTTAGTTTTGAAAAATGATCAAATTGACATTTTCTTGAATATTTTAATAGAAAAATATGTAAAGAAAGATATTGTTTTATTTACACCTTTGAAATTGGAAGTGAACTGATTAAAAAATCTTGGTATCTAGGGAAATTGGCTTTAATACATAGATCGTAGATACAAAATTATAAAATCTTTTTTTTAGTTTAGATCATCTTTCACTTTTCTGTGGGAATGTTTCTGTTTCTGGTTTGAACATCAATAAACCTATCAGTTATCACATGTTAAATCCCCAGCTTCCTTTGATAAACTAAGCTGTCTTTCCTCACTATCCCCATAAAAAGCCTGGGAATCCCATTCTTTCCTGAGCAGGTGCCCATTGCAAAAAGAACCAGAGTATTGCCTCTATGCCTCCAATAATAAATTCTGAAGCCATATGTTACTGCTAATTTGTGTGACATTGTTGTATGACTATGACTGACAGTGTGCAATATATTGTTTGTAAGTTTGATTTGATTTCAGGACTGGTGGGCAGACATGGAAGGAAAGCAGAAATTTAATTCTTAAGTTTGAAAAAGTGTCCAGTGTTCTGAGTATTTTTCCCCAACCAGGTGCCCTCCATATGTCCTGGACTTCACTTATTTTAGCTAGGGATTCTAGAAGTTGAAGTTCAATACATTCAGAGGGCAGTGAAATTGCTCTGCTTAATGCCTAAAAGGATATAGTCTATATTGTGTGGAAAGAAAGTTATCTTGACTGTGCTGGAATTAGACCAGTTCTGCTATATTGTTCACTGAATAATTGTTTTTGAATAGCATCCAACAAATTAGGCTATAACTTATGATTGCCTTATGAGTGCTGTTTGAGGTGGAAATTTTACCTGATCGAAATTTTAGATAGCATCATGGTATCTTTGGGTACTAAAGAAATTTGAAAAGCTGCTTCTGACTTGATATTTGGCGTGGAAATACTTTTCAAAGTGGCAGTAAAAGGTGTCTGCATGCATGCTCAACCTGAACTGCTTGGTCCAGACTCTTAATTTCCAATTTTCTTATCAACAAGCAAGAACATTCATGCTGAATTATGGCTTTCTTCAAAGTAGATGGCTGAATATTGGGATGAGTTGATGAGAGTATGTTGCCCCAAAGTGTGATTTGATTGCTTTATTTGTACCTGAGAGCCTGGGATTTAAGGGAGAGCTTTCAGTAGTCCTCATTGCTCCTTGTCCCTTTTCATGATGAACAACAACAAAAAAAAAAACACCTTCCCCCCCCCCAAAAAACCCCCAGGATATAGTAAAATCAACAAACTGGAACATACAACTAGCAAAATATGTAGATTGGCCTTGTCCAATCTGGTACCCCAAAAATGTTGGACCAGAACCCTCTAATTACCCAACCAAAATGAGTATAGTGGATGGAAGTTACAAACCTAATACATCTGGTGTATACCATATTGGGGATGGCTGATGAGCTTAATAACTGAATGTTTGTTGCAAGTACAAATTTAGATTTAAAAACACATGTGCATACCAGCATGCAATGTTTTTGATACCCAGGCCTTGATGAGAGAAAAACCTAGTGCTGCCTATTTTGCTAAATTAGTTAGAAAGAACTGGAAGAATTTGAAAAACAAAATGAAAGAAAAATGTTTTTGAAGAGTTCATTTGAAAAACACTGGGTAAGAGATTTCCACCAAGGCTCTTCATAAAGTGGGATAACGGAATGTTACAACTTCAGTTTGCAGGTTCTACTTGAGTGAAAATCCTGTTTTGTTATATCCTTCAACTTTAATTTTGGTCTAAATTGGCTTGGAGAGCTCTGTCTATGCCTCCTTTCTGACTCGGGTTGAAATGTTCTAGGCACTGTGAATGGAGTGTGAAATAAACAAGTTGTTGAGGCCGCTCAGTGGCAGGAGTGTGATGCTCCTTCAGTGAATGTGTCTGGTTCTTTATTTCTCAAGGGAATTGTTTGGATGAGAAGAGTTCTCAGCAAAGCAATTATGTTTTGGAAGAAGCAAAATGGGTTTCTGAAGTTACTACAGAGTATGTAGTAACAACTTTTTAAAAAGTCTACAACTTTTTAAAGCAGCTGTGTCTTCATGGGTTGCATGACTGCTTTAAAGAGTTGAAAATAGGTGTAACTTTCATGATCTGTTTCCTCCGAAGCACTTGTTTGAAACAGCATTTCACTATTAGAAAGATATTGACTAGGATGGAAATTAGTGGATTTTCACTCTACAGTTTGGCTGCTAATTTGCTAAAACATGCATTGCTGCCTTAGAAGGAAAATTTGCAAAGCTTTGTGCAAGGAAAACTGAAGAATGGAGGATAGTGGTTTCACACATCATGCTAGTCTATGGTTTACTTAATTGTTTTAAGTAACTGTCTTCACACAAAATTCTAAACCATGAGCCACAATTTACACACACAATAAATGGATTCGCTTAATGTCTTAATCCAAAGCTAGCCAATTCAATTATGGCTTAGTGTGATCCCAGCTGCATTTATTGTCTTGAGTCATATAGGTAGTCCTTCACATATGACCAGAACTGAAACCAGAATTCCCATCAATAAATGATGTTATTAAATGAGTTGTGCTCGATTTTCCTACCTTTTCTGCTGTGGTCATTAAGTGAATCATGTTAAATAAATCCAACTTCCCCATCTACTTTGCTTGTCAAAAGCCCCCTGGGAAGATTCCAAATGGTGATCACATGTCCCTGTGATGTTGCAATCATGATAAATATATGCCAGTGCCCAAATTTTGATCAGGTGACTGCAGGGATGTTGTGACGGTTACATGTATCGGGACCATCTATAAGTCATTTTTCAGTGCTTTTGTCACTTTAAATAGTTGTAAATTGAGGATTACCTAAATAATAAAATTAAGGCATCAGTTTGTGTCCCAGTTTCTAGTAGCTGACAATTCTGTCTATCCAGAATTATAAAGTACTCGGCTCTTATTCTCTACAGACAGGAAGAAAGAGCCGGGCTCATCTGATATAATGTTCCCTGCTTGGAGGCAATTTTTAATCACATTGGTGTTTATTTGCTGCATAATGGCCTCTTTTGATCAGTACCACCTGGGGCCTTTGCTCAACTATACAGAGATTGCTCTTATTAGTCTGGATGCCTCTCTATTCTTACAGGCTTTTGATGTCCTGAGTATCTCGTATGTAGAGCTGGCTCAGTAAAATGGGTGCTATCAGTGCCCAGAAAATTTTGGCTGGGAGCTAGATTCTCAAATTGGGTGACCTGTCCAAGCAAGATTATGATTAATGGCAGGTGTCCTCTGAATAAGTAATTCAAATCCAACTTGTTCATTTTTGCCTAGTGCCTGCTGACTGTAGCAAAGGGAGGAAGCATGTTTGCATTTGGATGGGCAAAGGTACAAATTTATCAGCTGTCTTTTGGCTGCCTCTTCCCAAATTGGCTAATTACATGAGATTAATGCTTAGAAGCAGCAGTTCCCTCTCTTCTAGCACCATCTGCTCTCCTGTATGAGGTCTGTTATTATTTGCCAATGTCTGGATTCTGTTTTGTAGGTTTGACCCTGACTATAGGAATAAGAGTACCGTCTACATTGAGAGGCGAAGGCTTTGCTGAAAGGTTCAAATGGAAGGAATTGTTTATGGGAAAGGATATAATGTAGGAATGTATTTTTTTAAGCGCTGTTGGTTTTCAAAGTTGTAAATCTGCAAAATGCTCATAGCACTTAAACAATGAAACTACTATAATACTTGACTATTTTTGTCTCCAACATGCTTTTTCAATCTTACCTGTTTTCCTCGTATTGCTTTGCCTATTATGGAGAAGTTTTCCCTCCCAATAATTCTACGTAGGAGTGATCCAAATGTGAAAGTTGAGCAAATTAATATGAAATGCTTTTGAAAAATAGTTAGATTGTGACTTTTTAGGGATAACTTGTTAGATGATGGACAATATACAGAGTTTAGATTTAATCCATTATTCAAGTCATAAAATTAAAACCATATCTTTAAATAATTCATTGTAATGGAGCATAGGTAAGGAATACAAGCAGGTTGAGTGCCAAGTTGTTAATATCTGTTCTATTTAAGAACATATTTGCTGATAAGCTGTTTGATCTAGAATATAAAAAAAATCTCAGGCAAAATTGATGGGCATTGTGAAATCATCAAATGTCCTAAAAATGTTCCTTTTCCTTACCATGTGAAATTAGCATAGATATAATTTAAAATAATTATCTGAAACACAATCACATTAAGATTCTCAGATGCTGCATAATTAATTTAAAATCATTGCCTACTGAGATATATTAATGGCATGTGTCATCTTGCACTAATATTATCATTCTTTATCAGTAAGATTCCTTGCCCTATTTGATAGATTTGATGCTGATGATTAGGGAGTTGTGTAGCTAACTATACAACCACAGCATTCCAAATTGGGGAAAACTGATATAGGACATGGAGTCCTAATTTATCATTGAGGTAGTGATAATGAAATTCTCTTGAATTAAAAGTGAAAGACCTGTAAAATAAAGAACCATGGTGATTTGTGGATTCTGCCTGAGGAAAGTGTAAAAGGGTATGGGCTCTTCAAGAAATGGTGACTCAAAACCTTTAGGCTGCTCTCTGTAGATGTGTAGGGTCATTGACCAAAGAAAATTGCAGAAAGAAAATTGAATTGACCTGAGCTAGAAAATCTGCTTAGCATTTTAAAGTGCCTAAACTGCTTGAAAAAGGAATTTTTGTAAGATTAGCTGTAGAGTCTCAAGTGTGAACTGAAGCCTTCGGAAAAGGATCAGAACTTTTCTGGCCTTGTGGAATCTGCTTGCAACAACTCAGGTAGCTCTTGGCTAGATCCAAATTAGCTGTGTCCCAATGTTATTTTTTTCCTGTGAGAGATAACCCTTTCCACAGAAGGATATTGTTTTTCTGAATCTCTTTTGTCTCTTCCCAATTCTAGTTTAGGCTGTCCATTTCCCTCAGGGCTTAAAGCTTTGTTGGCAAGTCACTAGATAGTGACAAAGGAGACTGACTTGCCACAGTTTCCCCAGGGATCTGGAATATTGTTGCTGGGGCTTGCACTGCAGTTGCTAAGGAACCTCCTTTTGAGGCACCACTGGGATGGCAGTGGAAAGGCCAGATTGCTGCTGTGAGATGAAACAACAGCCCTTGGCTTTTGTGGAAGTGCCATAGTGGGTTCCTGGAAGCAGTTTTGCTGTAACCCTTCAGGTGGGCTGGTTTCATCTTGCAGTCCTACTGCTGGAATGAAATCTCTTTTTCTGATAGCTACCTCTTTTAAACCCTCTGGATTTCCCTTCATTTCTGAAGATTTTGGGAGATTTTTGAGATCTGGATGTGAATGATCAAGGGAAAAAAGGCAGCTATTTGAAATATGTCTATTATAGTGCAACAAGATTTAGAAGCCCCAACACTATGATTACTACAACTACTAGGAGGTTATGTGATTTTTTATTCGCTGAGGTGCATTTGTTTCTGAACTGTAGATCTAAATGTTTGGTGTTTTTTTTAAAAAAGTGAACATAAAAGCATTTCAGAGAATGAACACAATATCAGTGAGTTTTCCAAATCCACTATTTAATTTATAATAAGAATTTAAATTTTATTTTTTTTAAAGACTGCCATTTCTTAACTTTACAGCTTCAAATAGCATATCAGATTTCTCCTAATTATTGTACAGTTTATGTATTAAGTGCTGTTTTTTAAAAGAATGTGCTGTCTGCCAATTTGGTGTAAAATTAAATATACCTCTGTAATAAACAATATAGAGAGGCAGTTTGGTGTAGTGGTTAAGGCACTACACTAGAAATTAGGAAATTTCTAGTCCTGCCTTAGGCACAAAGCCAGCTTGGAGACTTTGGGCCAGTCAGCCCCTCATTCCTAGGAAGTAGGCAAGGGCAAACCATTTCCAAACTCTTGCCAAGAAAACTGCTAGGACTAGTCCAGGCAGTTGTCAAAAGTCAACATTGACTCAAAAGCATTAATAAAATAAACAATATGGCTTATCCATAGCTTCCAAATCTTCTGAAAAGCTATGGCTTCTTCGAAACATTGATCTGGATTTTATAGATAGCTTTGCTATTGCTACTGATGTAATTGCTATGTACACTTATTCTATATATTGAGTGTACAAGTACACTTAGTAAATATGTTGTCAGTTATGTTGACCAACACTAAATGATTTCAATTAAAATTATGATCATAGAACTTGCCACAAATCTTTTGCAATGCACAATGTTGACATGATTTATTTCCCTAGAAATTTAAAACCACAAGCCTCTTTGTACTGTACTATAAAAACATCACATGGCAATTATCAAATACTGCAAAATTCATTTCAGACACCAAACAACATTGGATGTTAAATAAGCCAGTATAAAGTATCTGAAGAAAATTTGAGAAGTCCTTGAAGAATAAAATACTGTATATTTTTTCCTGAACATTCATAAACAGTAAATAGGAATGATTTTTTCCATGCACAATGTCCACAGAGCAAACAACCTATGTTTCTTTCCAGTTTGTTTTTTAAGCTGAGCTGCATTTTTATTTCAGAATATAGGATTCTATCTTATGTGTGCATATAAATCTGATTATACAAAACATACTTAATTCTTGAGTTATATGAAAAGTTATGTAATTCTTTGCTATTAAACTGATAATCAGCTGCTTAAAATATTTCCCCTGTGGACTTCCTCATACCATCTCCCTGTTCACCAACACTTTTTTTTTCTTAAGAAAAAAAGCAAGTTTGACCGCATTATGGATTGAACAGATCAGCAGGAGATAGTGAAGCTACCCTGTTTCTTGCAGAAGATATAAATGAAAAGTCTCTTACTGTTTGTGAAACACATTTTAGAGAAGCAGCTGAGACTGGCATTTCTTTTGGTAGCCAGGTCATACTTTCATTTCACACTGGCATCCTGTTACTAAAAGTGGCTGCTGATGTATCCACTATATGGCCTTTAACAAAGTTGATAGCAGAGGGAACAGCTGGGATAACTTATAGTGCTTTCACTGCCCACCCCCACCCAGCCACGCCTAATATGCTTATTTCCTGTAAGTGAAATAAAAACCTGAAAGAAAATGGAAGTTATATTATTTTAAGAAACCATGTTATAAATAAGCCAATAATATGTAGCTTTTCTCTTGCTTTGTATTTGCAGTGAATAGGGTTACAAGGGGAACATAATTATAAAATGAGTCTCAGAAATAGACTTGATTGTCCAGTGCTATCTGTTTGGAATCTGTAGAACTTCCATTCATGGACACTTTCCAAGTTGCAGTTTTGATTTTTTAATCAACTTTTTATATATGGTAGCCCAATGAACCCTGGGTTCTCCCCATGAAAATAATTGCTGTGATGGCTGTTGGTTCAGTAATACTAGCTATATCATTTGGGTTGGAAACAACAACCTGTCGGAGTGATGATGAAGCTGGAAGTCAGGAGAGTGTAGATTATATGGCTTGTCTACACTTTCTAAGTTAGCCTGCCACCCTAGGATGTGGAAGATATTATCCCCTATCACTGTTGGAATAAACCTAGTGAAGGGAGAAAGTACAGTATCTTAATCTTTGTTCTACGGTTTAGGCAGCAAAACGTCTTAGAATAGTTCTGCCTGGATACTTTTACAATATACACAGAAGCTTTAGTTGAGTTCATGTCATCAAAAGGTCTTAAATTGTGTCAGAGTATCCAGGTTCAATTATTGAATTGCTTTTGAAAGGACACGGATCTCAGTGTTAGCTGTTGAGGAAGAGGTAGTACTGGTACCGTATCTGTTTTCTGAGTTGGTCTAAATTGGCAACATCAGTTAATTATCTTTGATTTGAAACTGAGTTCTACTATACAGATAATCCTTGACTTATAACCACAACTGGGATCAGAATTGTTGCTAAGCGATGCAGTTAAGTAGTGCCCAATGTTATGATCTTTTTTATCATAGCAATTAAATCATATGGTCATTAAGTGAATCCAGCTTCCTCTATTGATTTTGTCAGAAGCTCCCTGAGAAGATTGAAATGGCTGCATCTGTCATAAATACATGCCAGTTGCTAAGTGCCCAAATTTTGATCACGTCTCAAAGACACTGCACATAAGTGAAAGGACTGGTTGTATATCACTTTTTTCAGTGACATACAGTGTTGTAACTTTTAATAGTTGTTAAATGGTTATAAATCAAAGGCTAACTGTAAACTTCTACCATATTATACATTGTCCTTGTTTAGTCCTTTGACTTGAATAGTATAGGGTCTCCTGCTAGAGCAGGGGGTCAAGAACTAGAAGATCTTTAAGGCCCCTTCTAACTCCCGTTATTCTGACAGTGATGAAAACAACATTATGACAAAATCTTGCACTTACGTTCATTGCAAATTTATAAAGCAAAGAAAAACTGAAGTGAGATCATAGCTGTAAGGGGTGCAAGCGCTTCGGATCCCTTCCATAAGAGGTGATGGGATCGAGAGAGACCAACTCCTTTTGCTTGATAGCTAGAGGGCAGGCAAAATCTTTCCTACAGGGAAGCGGTTTTAAGAGCCCCCGCCAGGAAAAAGAAAAACAGAAAGTAGCAATTGCTGGGAAAGAGGAAGAGGAAAGGGCAAGTGCGATTGTGTGGCGCCGTTGGCTTCCACCTCCCTCCGAAAACTTGAATGGAAACTCGGCGCTGGGTCGAGAAAAGAGACGGGGGCAGAGCCGCGGCGTCACCTACGCAGCGCGGTTCAGGTAGGGGCAGCGAGGCACCTGCGGGGCGGAGTCTGCCCAGGCCGGACCGGCAGTTTCGCCTGCGTGTCGTCTCAAGGGCCTCGAAGCGACAGCCGCGAGTCCCGCTTCTGAGCTGGCTTGGTTCGCGCCCTCCAGCATGGCTCTGGAAAGCGACAAGAGGAGGACGAGGTAAGGCGGCGGGCGAAGCGGCTGAGTGCTGAAAGCTCTGTCTCCATCTCGTCTTCCGCCCCCCGCTTCCTTTTCTTCCTCTGGCGAGGGGAGCGCTTTGCTTCGCCCGCTTCAGGTATCCGCAATGCAGAGTCACTCCCGGGCGGGCGACGAGGGCCACGAAGCCGAAGAAAGCGTTCTCTCACACCGGAGACACGAACGTGGCTCTAAGCGGGCGAGGACGAAGGGGGTGAAGCGCGGGTTTCCGGGCCCCTCCCGTTGAGCCAGGCCCGTCTTGCGAAGATGGCTCCGGCTCGAGGAGGCGTCGGGCAGCCCGAGGCGATGGAGCATCCCCGCTCCTCTCCCTCGACGGGGAGAGCCCCACTTCCCAAGCTGCGACCAGCCCCGGAGACAGAGGAGCCCCCAAGCGCCGCTCCTCTTCCCCACCAGTGCTGGGTCTTGGGAAAAGAAACGCAGCCTCGGTCCCCGCGAGAGAAACCAAAGTCTGGCATCCGTACGGAGGAAAGGTTTATTAAGCCGATAGAAAGTTTGCAAAATGGGCGCTCCCCCTTTGGGCGGATTACTAGCAGCTGGCAGTGGACTAGGCGTAGGAACCCTACCCTCCGGCGATGGTAGGTTTGGGGAGGGATAGGATGGGCGCGGGAGATGGCTGGGAGAGATGTAGGGGGTCCTTGGGAGGGGACGCCGGAAGAAGACCAGCGCTGTCCCGGAGCCGCCAGGGACTTGCTGATCTCGTCCCCATCCAACTTTTCAGGATCTTTCGTCTCCCTCCCCTCCCTATCCCGTTCCAGACTAGAGGGTGGGAATTGCGATAGGGATTTAACCAATCCAGACAACTGACATTTGAGCAGTTAAATACTGAGCTTATTTCTAACCTTTCCCAAACCCAAGTGAAATCTGCTTCAGTTATGCTCCTGAGGAGTTTGCAAATAATTACACCTATAAACTTTCCATTCTGAAAAATCTAATCATATAATGGAAGGCAACTGTCTTGTCATATCTGCATCCCTAAAAGAAGTTCAATTTCAAATACCTGAAATTGAAAAATCTGCCTGCTGAAGTCTAAAATTGAAAGTTGAATTTTAAAGCACTGTATTTCATTATTTCCTTCCATTTATCCCCATGATAACAATTTGAGAGGCAATTGAGCTAAAGAAGAGTAATTGGCCCCAAATCTATCAATAGCTGTGAACCTAAGTCTATTTAGTCATAGCCCAGCCCCTTTATTCACTCTGACACATTGGCATCAGCATAGTAGAAAGTGTTAGAGGCAGACCCATTTTCTCTACCTGTGATACACAGGTATTGTCACCCTTCTGAACTAGAACAGCCGCTCTTACATGGAGTACGCCAGAAACCAATTTAAATCAGCATTCTAGTTCTAATAATGGTCACCCACATGTCCCAGCAACTTCCCAAGTTGATTGTGCCAGTGCAGGACTGTAAGTAGAACTCTTAGGGCAAAACTCTCAGGTGGGTCCCCATCCCAATTTTAACTGATTTTTAATAGAATTAAAAATTAACCTGCAGAAAAAAAATCAAGAAATAAGGTACCACCCAAGTTTGGAGTGAGCTCCCTCTTCCGGAGCTGTGGTAACGAAAAAGATATAGTGCTTACCCTCTGAATAAGGAAGTGATCAGCATTAGTTTAAGTTCACTGAATCAATGGTGATTAGGTGGATTTATGATACTACTGCTATAATAATAATTGTTACTAAATTCATCTGGATAAATAATTGATCACAGAGATGCAGCATGGGGCATGGCTTATTTCAGGACATGGCAACTCTGTTATTCTATTGCAGCTAGCATTCCACTGTTACTAACTTTAAACTTCCCCAAATTAAAGCAAAACAAATAAACTGAAAAAGTCAGAAAATTTTCTTATAGGATATATCAATTAACCTTTGCATAGAAAATCTGGTGTCTCTAATTCTTCAGGACTACAATTTCTACATTATTTGTTGGAGGAATCAAAGAAATTTAAATCCTACTTTTTAAAATTATTATCTTAAAATTACTATCCTTTGTAAAGCGAGTTGCTACTACTGCTTGCTTAGTTAGATTTATGTACCAAATTTCCTCCAGGAGCTCAAATCAGTGTGCACACCTCTTTTTTCTTCTCCACTTTTATCTCACAACCACCTGCCTTGGATCTTATTGATTCTATAGTTATTTAAAAGTGATTAATAACTCCTCTGTGAAATAGGTTAGAGTGAGAGGCAGAGTGACTGAACAAAAGTTCACCCTATCAACTTTTATTGGTGAGAATAGATTTGAATCAGGGTCTCCCAGGCTCATTCTTTACTCCGAAGAGATATAGTATGGTCTTTTGTTTTTAACAGACAACTTTCATAGTTTTCAAACTGAATTTGTTGTGCATCATGTACTTGGTTAATCAAGTTATAGATTATTCATCTAAGAACTTCTTCTTGTCCCCTAACACCCACATAAAATATATATGTAATGAAGGTGTAAATGCATTCAAACCTGTTGATGAAAGGGAGACAATTTTTTTTATAGTATTGGGTGCTTGCACAGAAGATTATGCCCTCTATGTGAACTGAAGCATGGCCTGGCTTTGTACATGCTGCATTTGCTAGTTACTGGGATGGTGACCACTTTCTAGTGGGAGTACTACTATATCTGGGCTGCAGAAATCATATAACTACTACCGGCATATGACAGCCTTTCTGTGTCTCTTTGCTTCCATATAAAGATCATCTCGATTTTGGTAGCCCAGACTGCCTGCCTGCCTGCCTCATAACTCAGTGCCAGTGGTAGTCCTGTTTAGTTCCTGCTGTTTGCTCCCATTGTTTATTGATAAATCACCTCACTGACTGAGTTGGTACACTCTCAATTTAGACTTGGTATTGTTTACAAAAACACAAAGTTGTCTATATTTTTCTGTGTCTCTCACAAGGAGGTGCACTTCTCCATGAAGCACATATGATAGATAACTACCTCTTAATTTAGTGTCATACATTTTTCTTGGATAAGTCAAATTGATATTGATACAGAACTTTGCTGCAGTTACTACATTGCAAAGTAAGTTCCTAGAGTCAAGGATGTGAGATTATTAATTGGTTATTTATCACCTAATAATATCACTTAATATTACTACCTAACATAATCATGAGAAACTGCAAAGTGCATTAAATCAATATTGATTATTGTGGGTGGTAATGTGACTGACAGGATCTTTATTAAGCTTGCAGTTTTGTTAACCTAAGAGCAAGGGTGTCAAAAATCCACCAATGGGTTTAGCCTGTGTTCCTGCCCAATCAGATCAAGTCAGCCAAAGTTGCAACACCTGTCCTGGGCTAGAGTGTCCCAGTCTCGACTTGATCTTGCCCAGTACAGATGTGCAAGTTTGACTCTTAGGCAGGTACAGTCTCCATTGGTGGATTTTTCCATTACAGACCACAGTTTTCTGAGCAGCACTGGATTCACCCTGGGGTTCAGTTTACTGTTCACTTTATCCCATTTTATTATTTAACTTGCTGGAGGAATAAGCTCTCTTCTTCCCATCCTAGTAACAACTTGAGGCAGAGGGAGGTTGTTCTCCACCCCTCCAACCCCCATTTCCCTTCCCATTCCTGGGTAGCTCTGGGATCAGGATTGCTCTGGGTCCCTAATATCGTCCCTTGCATGTTCATTGCATCCGTTTGTTTTCCCTCTGCGTTTATATGTCTTAACGGAGCCTGCGGCTGCAGCTCCGGTCCCCACACGTGTGCGCAGGCGAGGGAAGCCCCTTGGAGCCGGCATGCGTTCGGGAGCTCCGTTTGAAGAGTTTTTTGTCCTTTTCGGCTTTCCGGTGCTGCGGCTGCAGCTCCGGTGCCCTAAACAGCCGAATCTAATTGCTGCCTGGCTCTTTCGATCGCTGGGTGCAGTCCTCTACGAGGGTTCGTGTGCTCCAATGGCGGCTGCAAATCAGCTGTGAGGCGGCTGTTTGAAGAGGCATGCCTAATACAAGGGGGATTGCAGCCCCCTTGCTCAAACAATAGCGCGGTGTGATTTCAGGGTAGAGAATCGCCCCAAGCTTGGTGTTAACGGTGTTCTGAGCCACAGGGCCTCATCAATATTCTTCCAATGCTCGGACCTTGCCTCAGTCCCCTCACACGACCGCCATTTTGACAACAGATTCACCGGAGGAAGGAGTTCCTTCCTCCACCCCCCCCCCCGCATCCCTCTTCATCTTTATTGGATTCGAAGAGGACGACAGGATCAGGTACACAATAGTGGGGGAATCTAGGAGAATTTTCCAGGGGGTGTGTGGTAGCCATTTTGTTAATGGCTGCCATTTTGTGTGTCATTCAGGCCTTCATTTTTTCCCAGGGGTGGCCATTTTGTGGTTGACACAGGGCTTCTGCTTTCTATGTAGGGCTCTTAGGACACCATTTTGGATCTTTCCCTCAACACGATTACAAGGCCTGTCAGACCTCAGTCAGTATTTGATCTCCACAGCCACTCAGGTCTGTAATATATCTATTTCATAGCCTGCTTAACAGGATTGGTCCTATTCAGTTTACTCCTTTTTTCTTCCAGTGCATTTAACCTCCTTGGATTCAATTTCTGGGTTTTTGGTGTCTCCAGGTCTCCCTGAAAACCAGGATTACCCCATTGGGATCCTGGCCTAATCATATTAACAGCTCTATCTGGGTTCCAGGCATCCCCTATCGTGCGCCTGTTCTTATCCACATGAACAGCTCTGTCTGGATTCCAGGCGCCCCCTATCATGCATCTGTTCTTATCCACACAAACAGCTCTGTCTGGATACCAGGCGTCCCCTACCATGCGCCTGTTCTTATCCACACAATCAGCTATATCTGGATTCCAGGTGTCCCCTATAGTGTGCCTGTTCTTATCCAATCAATAACAATCTCTGGATACCAGGGGTCCTCTATCGTACTCCTGTATTACCTGAGAATGGAGGATACTAGGCCCTCCATAAAGGACGTCTTGCCATCCTCCTCAACTGCAAAACACCACAAATCCTC